GGGTGGGTGGGTTGGGGGGGTACAGCAACAGGAGTCCTGTCCACTCTTGACCACCAGGGGGCGCTGGGGTGGGCCGCCCACCTGTTCCTGCTCCAGGCGCAGATTCTCCGCCAACGCCGGCAGCTCCTGCTCCAGCACCGCGGCCAGCATGGCCCGGCGCTTGCTCTCCTGGTGCAGCAGGCTCAGCCCCGAACTCTCCTCCGGGGACGCGGGCTCCTCGGGCACCCTGGGCACAATCGGGAGCGGCTGATAGAGGACAGGCACCAAGGCCGTCCAGCCACCTCTGCCGCAGGGTTTGAATCTTCGAGGACCTTTTCTAGCTAGCTCACAGGGACAAAAAGAGAGAAACCCAGGACTGAGAGGGCACAACAAATGCATGCTAGGGCTTCTGGGACAAAGCACAAGTAGGCACCAAATGCCATCCCTGCGCGTGGTCAAGATGCCCAGGCTGCTAAGGAGGGCTTTTTTTCTGAAGGGGGAGAAAGGCAAAACCAGGCAAAAGGAACCCATTTCAGGACCCTACGTTCTCACCGGAGCTGGCTGGTGCCCCCATAACTGAGGCAGCGCTTCGGGGGGCTGGGCGGGTGCTGACAGGGTGCCTGAGGGCGCGGGAATGTCTGGGACTGGGTGGATGAGTCAGCTGAAGGAGTGAGACTGGCAGAAGGGGCACCTGAGGGAGGACAAGGTGGTCAGCTGGGCCCCCTCAGCCCTCTCACCTCCACGGCCCCTCTTCCCTCCAGTGTACTCACTCCCTCCATCCCCGCAGCACCTGAGGGCCGTGGGGCGTGTCTGGGGGAGCCGGGGCTGCGGCTCCTCTTCCCAGGTTGCAGGAAGGGGTCCCCCAGCAGTGCTTGGGCACTGGCACGGAGACGGGGGTCTGGCTCAAAAGTTCGAAGGAGGAAGGCTTGGGCCTCAGCCGACAGAGAACTGGGCATGGGCGGATGTACCTTGTACATGCCCACCTGGAGGGGTTCAAGGAGGACAAACAAGGGCATGTTTAGAGGTGTTCAAGGCCTGACCCGACCCCACTCCACCTCCATGGGCCAGGTCCTGAGGGGTCTCACCTGAAACATGGCAGCCTGTGGGCTTCCTAGCTCGTGGAACGGTGGGCGACCTGTGGCCATCTCAATTACAGTGCAGCCCAATGACCAGATGTCAGCCGCTTTCCCATACCCTCGTGGGCCCTGGTCAATGATTTCTGGGGCCATGTATTGTAAGGTCCCTGCACAGGAGCAGGAGCAACAATGCCTATCTAGGCTTTATCGTGGGGTGGGGTGGGGGAAGGGAACTCCATCATCCTCTGGCCACCTGTACCCATCACCTAAACTGGTCATCAAACATTTACCCTGCCCTATGCTCTATCTATCATCTGCTAAGACACCCTCATTTATCTGGGGCTCCATCATATCCATAGACTTTATCACCCACACTGTGGTTCCATCATATATCCTCAAATGCATCACCCCCCCCCCCCCAACTCTATCACCATGGGCTCTATTTCAGGTACTAAACTCAGTTTCATCAGTTATCCAAGTGGCTCCAATTCTAGATGCCATCACCTCACCTCGGCCTAATCACCTGCCCGGAGTTTCATTCCCCATTAGGACTCTAACTCCATGCCCAAGAGAAATCCCACTCCACTCCCTGAGAGTCTCCAAAAGTTCTGTCCCAGGTCAGTATCCCCACTTACCACTCCCACACTCTATTACCTGTGAAGGTCTCAGTGCAGGGTGTGATGCCCGCCAGCCGCTTGGAGGTGCCAAAGTCAGAAATCTTGAGCAGTCCGCTGAAGGTGTTGATCAGTACATTGTCTCCCTGATGGATTGTGATTAGTGGACATTGGGTTGGGTCTCGAACAGCAGAACTGTGCCCCCATTCTGGGACCTCATCTCCTGGGGATTCCAGCCTGGCCCTGCCTCTATCAATATCCTCCCCTTTGGCTGGGTGTGATGGCTCAAGCCTGTAATTCTAGCACTTTGGGAGGCCAGGGCAGGAGGATTGCTTGAGACCAGGAGTCTGAGACCAGCCTGGACAACATAGCAAAACTCCGTCTCTACAAAATAAAATAAAAAACCCTTTTCCTGCCATCCCATTTATGTGCCCTCCTTCTGGGAACTGGCACCTGGTTTGGCTTCAGAACTGAACTTCTCTCCTTCTCTAAGGAAACTCTGATGAATTCCCTGCCCTTTGCAACAGGTCTGCCCACTTAGTCTAACTGCCAGCCTCTGTCTGGGACCATGTCTCTTCCCACCTACCCCACCCCAGCAGGCCAGGGCAGGCCAGCCTCAGGGCTTACCTTAATGTCCCGGTGCACAATGTGGTTGTCATGCAGGTAGCTGAGTCCCTGCAGGATCTGGCGGGTATAGAAACTGATGGTGCTCTCATTGTCCTTCAGGGGCCCCCACACTGACCGTAGCAAGGAGGACAGGCTGCCTGGGCAGACACAGTCCAAGTTCACAGCTGATACCTGTTTATTCCAGCCCACGTCCCTCTGCTCAGGTCCAGACACACCCATTCCATAGCCCACACTCCATCACCCAGCACCACTCCTTAGCTAATTCTGGGCTACACCACCCACACACGCTAGGGCTCATTTCCCCCTAGGGCTTCTCACCACTGCCTGTCTCTATCCCACGCCCCACAACTCGGGTCCCATCCCACGCAGGGCAGGTACCTCCGGGCACTTCCTCCATGAAGATCTTAAGGTAGCCGCCCTGGCTGGCTGAGCCCAGATAGCGCACGATGTTCTTGTGGCGCATGCGTTTGTGAAGAGCGATCTCTTCGTGCAGAGGCTGAGAGAACCTGAGCGAGAGGAATGGGAGAGGTTTGGGCAGAGCAGCTCAGCCATCCTGGCACCGGCCAGGCCACGCCCCCGGGGCCCGCCCCGCCCACAAGCCCCTCTCGGATCTGAACTCCCTGCCCCCAGGACTCCCCAGATTCGGCCCCGCCCGCACGCTCCCAGCGGCTCCGCCGCCGGCCCAGTGCGCGGGGCTCGGACTCTCGGGTCTCACGAGCCCGCCCACTCGGCGTCGACCCCCAGGCCCGTCGTTCCCC